TGTATTGGGGTGGGGAAGGGAAAATTAAAACTTCAATGAAGAGAATGAGGAATGATCTGAATCAAACAATGTAGAGGAGTGAAACCTGCCAGCTTGTGATCGAGTGATGACGATACCTTCTTTTCTTTTTTGAGACAGAGTTTCACTCTTGTTGCCCAGGCTGGAGTGCAATGGTGTGATCTCGGCTCACTGCAACCTCCGTCTCCCAGGTTCAAGGGATTCTCCCGCCTCAGCCCCCTGAGTAGCTGGGATTACAGGCATGTGCCACCATGCCCGGCTAATTTTGTATTTTTAGTAGATACGGGGTTTCTCCATGTTGGTCAGGCTGGTCTCAAACTCCTGACGTCAGGTGATCTGCCTGCCTCAGCCTCCCAAAGTGCTGAGATCACAGATGTGAGCCACCGTGCCCAGCCGATGATACCTTCTTAACTCAGTTATGTCTAAAAGAAACACTAATACTAGGGGTCAATCTTCAGTAGATAAGAAATGTGGGGAAAAAATAATAACCAGGAAAGGCACAGGGTCAGAGCTGGGAGGGAGCTCAAGGTCACCAGTGTGGTAATTTTTACACTGTGGCCGCAAGTCTTCAGAGATGCTTCGGGAACACCACAGATCATGAAGTATTATTCCTTGCCAAGAGGATGGCTTGCTGTTTCAGGAACCTATTCAAGCTTTTGTTCCGTTTTTGTTCCAGTTGTAAAGAATTTAAACACTAGCCAGGTGTGGTGGCATGCACCTGTAGTTCCAGCTACTTGGGAGGCTGAGGCAGGAGAATCACTTAAATCGGGAGATGGAGGCTGCAGTGAGATCACGCCACTGCACTCCAGCCTGGGCAACAGAGCAAGACTCTGTCTCAAAAAAAAAAAAAAAAAAAAAATTTAAACACCAGTGTTATATGGCCAATGCCTGTCTTTTATAGGCATACAGGTAAGAACCTAAAGTCCAGAGAGGACAATTAACTTGCTCAAAGTAACACAAGGGAAGGCCTGCGTCTTCAACACATAAGTCTTGCTCTATCCCCAAACAGGAATATGAGACAGATACACTGGCTATGAATATTCCAGTTTACAAATGATGCCAGATGTGGGGCTCTACCTTCCCTAAACTTAAAGGAATTCTTTTCTTTTTTTCTGGAGACAGGTTCTCACTCTGTTTCCCAGGTTGAGCGCAGTGGCAGAGTCACAGGTCACTGCAGCCTCAACCTCCCAGGCTCAAGTGATCCTGCTGCCTCAGCCTTCTGAGTAGCTGGGACTACAGACATGTACCACCAGGCTCAGCTAATTTTTTATTTTTTGTAGAGACAGGGTCTCTCTATGTTGCCCAAGCTGGTCTCAAACTCCCGAACACAAGCGATTCTCCCTCCTCAGGCTCCCAACATGCTGGAACTACAGGCATAAGCCACTGCACCAGGCCCCTAAAGGAAGTTATAATGAGAGTCCTTCTCTTGTCATTAGGAGGTGAGGGTCAGTAGGGCTTCAATGTCTGGGCAGTGGAGGGTTCCTGCTTCCTGAAACGTGACCTCTTAAAATAGCACTTGTTTACTTATACCACGGTTGACCTCTCATCTCCAGCCTCCTGATCATTGCTGGTCCAGCCCACTTCCCTGCTACTTTCCAGCTCTCACCTTTCTGCCCCTCTGGGCTTGGCTTGGGCCCATAAACTACAGGATTGAAAGAGAAGTGCCTGAACTTCTCCAGTCCCTGTTTTATTGGCTCTCATTGGGTCTGAATGGGCTCTACCTTCTTGGAATTCCCTAACTCAGCTAATTGATTACATTCATGAGTCCTCAAGTTCTTAAAACTGGAAGAAAACTTTGACACCATTTCACTGAGTTCCTGAATCTTATAGATGAAGAAACTGACATCCATGCGATTCACACAAAGTCACATGGTCACATCAGGGTTCATGTTTCATAATTCTATATCCAGCACCCTTTGCGATAGCCACACCATCATTCTCCCATTTCATTCAATTCAGTTTAAATCAAAGCATGCTTATAGAGGCAGGGCGCCGTGACTTATGCCAGTAATCCCAGCACTTTGGAAGGCTGAGGCAGGTGGATTACCTGAGGTCAGAAGTTCGAGACCAGCCTAGCCAACATGGTAAAAACCTGTCTCTACTAAAAATACAAAAATTAGGTGGGCATGGTGGCAGGTTCTTGTTATCCTAGCTACTCAGGAGGCTGAGGCAGGAGAATCACTTGAACCTGGGAGGTGGAGGTTGCAGTGAGTCATAATTATGCCACTGCACTCTAGCCTGAATGACAGAGTGAGACCCCTGTCTCAAAAGGAAGGAAGGAAGGAAGAAAGGAAGTAAGGAAGGAAGGAAGAGAGGGAGGGAGGGAGGGAGGGAGGGAAAGAGGGAAGGAGGAAGGGAAGGAGAAAGAGAGAAAGAAAGAGAAAAGAAAGAGAAAGAAGGAAGAAAGGAAAGAAAGAAAGAACGGGAAGGAAAGAAGAGTGAACAGATGGAAAGAAGCTGGTTCCTGGATGGACTCATCCTGAGTTGCCACGCCAACCCTAGACTGCCTTCCCCGCACTTCTTGTTGCATGAGATAAATGAATCCCTCTTTGGTTCAGCCAAATAGCAGCACTTCTTTTATATGCAGCTGAATACAATCGTGAATGGCTCATGGGCCTTGAAAAAGTCTTGGGATTTCAACAAAGAGAGGCCTCTATTTGTTGAAATCCCAAGACTTTTTCAAGCCAGCAAATGCTCAGGACTGGGAAAGCTGCGGCAGTTTCTTGACAAAGCAGGAGGAGCATACAGAGAGGTCAGAAGAGAAGTTGAGATAGGGACAGAAGACCAGGGGGGCTCGGAGGATGGACCTGGATTTCATTCTGAAAGCAGGGAGGAATTGCTGGGGGAAGTGAGCTGTGCCGTTCCAGGGGAGTTGACACTAGTTCCTTGGCACTGAGTGAGCCTTGGGACCCCAGATGAGCAGGCAGGGCAGCTACTGGGGAGCCTGTTTGAGGAGAGTGGGTGGCCTATTTCATTCCAGTCTGCTGAGCTTGTGTTACATTCCTGTTAGCTTAGTATCTACACGGAACACCAGGAACCGCAGTATTACAAACTATTTGGCATTCTGAAGGCCCTGCTCTCACTGTGTCACTTTCCTCCCACCGGCAATTACCAGACTGGCAAACCGCAGCAGCCAGCCGAACCTAGCCCTCTGGCTTCCAAAGTGCGCCCTGCTTTGACTGCAGCATGTTGTAAGCCACAGACATCTTTGCCAAGAAATGATGAGAGAAGGAAGCTATGAAGAAACAGATGTATATAAAAATAAGACATGGTCTTGGGTCATTGATAGGAAAATGGAAGCAGAAAAAATATCCAACCTGGAATGCCCTTGAACAAGTTCAAGGACCCATAGGCAGCTGCATGGAAGAAAGCATTCCCTTGTTTCATCTCTTTGTGTGTATGGATTCTCTGATTTGGTTACCTGAGCCTCAGAGGCAGGGGATGCAGTGAAAAAATACAATATTGCTCCCAGTCTGCCCCCAACTAGCTGTTTGAGCTCACAAAACAAAACAAAACACTACCACTCTCTAGACTTTGATCTCCCCACCTACACACCTAGACACTGAAAGGTTTAGACCAGAGAAATACAAGTCTCATCCTTCTCAAAAACGTTGCAGCCCCGAGCTCCCTGTGCAGCCAGCTGTGTCCCAGCTGTCCCCAGTCCCCAGCTAGCTCCTCTTGGGCAAGAACCGTGTTTTCTCCACAGTCAGTACACATAGCAGAAACTCAATGAATCTTGACTGAATGGATTCCTGAGTGCACAACTGTTTCTTGAGAAGGGCTTCAGGAGCGGAGTAGAGATGCTATCAGGGCCTGAGACCCGGGCAGGAAATGGCACGTAAGTGACACTCTGGCTCTAGGCAAATCAGCTGGAAGAGGGAATGAAGCTAAGTTAGTGCAATTTTTCAACAACTATATTCTATAGACTTAACTCAGTAGATGTTTTCACCATCGGTGAAAAGAAAAGAAAAAGGTGCTCTGGTCAAAAGGTTAGGAAATTTACTAACAAATCTCACATTCTACTCATTCCCCTATGGACATGAGCCTAGAAAAGGCTCTGAGATATCTGTTTACTTTTAACCTAAATGTCCCAAACCTAGGGAACCTGTGTTTGGAAAACACCCGTGAAGCATGAATGCAGTTTGAGAAACACTGGTTTAGTGTAAATGGTTTCTACAGTGAAGTTTTCATTTATAAACCATGTTGGGGATGTGAAAAGCCCCTCTAGGACCAAGTATCATTGGTCATTGCATAATGAAATGGATAGACAGAGAGAAGAATTCAGATTGTTATTATTATAATTATTATCTCATTCAGTTAACATCTATTCAACAGCAATTGATTGTCTAGTATGTATCCAACACAAGGGGTATAAAGATAAGTAAGACAGGGTCCTCTCTCTGCAAAACAGCACCCCCCTAAACGGGAGAAGAAAGTACAGAATAATGTGCTGAGTACTGTAAGCAGATGTTATGGGAAGGCGGAAGAAGCTACCTGAGAGAATCATGGAAACTAGACCTTGAATAATAAAAATAATAACACTAACAACAATACCTTCCTCAAGTGCTAACCATGTACCAAACACTGTTCTAGGCACTTTACATATATTAACCCACTTAAACCTCACAACAGTCTTACCAGTTACTTTTAGTACCTACATTTTACAAATGAGATCAAGTCCCAGAGAGGCTGAGTAACTTGCCCGAGATCGCACAGCCAGAGACATGGCATGGTCAGGAATCAAACCCAGGCAGTCTGGCTCCAAAGTCCATACTTTTCAGCAGTAGGCTGTACTTACTGCCTTTTTGGGATGAGTAGTACACCAGATGGAAAAGGACAGAAGCCTTCCAGGCAAAGGGAATAGGAAAAATAGCAAGTAGTTCTATGTGCGTCAAACATGGACTCTCAAATCTATACCAGGAAGTTCTGGTTGTATCCTGTGGACTTGGGTGCGCAGATCTTTCTACTGGTGTCCGTCAGGCAAGAAAGGAAAGCATGAGTCTTTAGGGGAATCTGGAAGTATAACTTGAAAAAACCTCCACAAATTTCTTTTGAAGTCTCCCACCACCATCTGAAATATTCATGAGAATTCTATATTTGACACCATAATAGAATTGTGTTGACTCCATATAAAACATTTTAACCACTTACCAGTTCAATTAACATTTTTACACAGAACTCCAGGAACACATGCCATTATTTCTCTTGAGACCTCGGGTATCCCTGGCAACCTGCTCGCAGCCGTGACTCCCCAGCTGGAGGCCTAGCTGTAAACAGCAGGAAGTCATTTAAGATGCCTGAGCCAGGGATGGACCCAGCGCATTTGGGTTTTCAAAAGGTGATTCTTCAGAATAGCAGGAATCTAGGAATAACTTAAATATCCATCAAGAGAAAACTAGTTAAATAAATTACATCCATCCACTAGAATATTACAGTGCTCTAATAGAATGAGAGACCAGCATGTACAGGTGAGAAAAGCTCTCTAAGGTAACATAGTCAATGAAAGCAACCACGGCTCATGCCTGTAATCCCAGCACTTTGGGAGCCTGAGGCAGGTGGATCACAAAGTCAGGAGATCGAGACCAACCTGGCCAACATGGTGAAACCCTGTCTCTACTAAAAATACAAAAATTAGCTGGGCATAGTGGTGTGTGCCTGGAATCCCAGCAGGAGAATCACTTGAAGACAGGAGGCAGAGGCTGCAGTGACCCAAGATCGTTCCACTGTACTCCAGCCTGGTGACAGAGCAAGACTCTGTCTCAAAACAAAAACAAAAAAAACAAAAAAAAACAAAAAAAAAAGAAAAGAAAAGAAAAAGAAAAAGAAAAGAGCCAAGTGCAGACCAGTGAGTATGGTGGATTCCCACTTCTGTGTGAGGTATGGAAAGCATGTGTGTTTTAAGGATATGCTTTTACAGCCAGAGAAAACTTTTAGAAGGAGAGACAACAAATGTCAACAGTAAGGCTCTCTGGAGACAGGAACCATGAGAGAACTTACTTTTTTTTTTTTTCCGACATGGAGCTCACTTTGTCACCCAGGCTGCAGTGCAGTGGTGTGATCTTGACTCATTGCAACTTCCACCTCCTGGTTCAAGTGATCCTCCTGTCTTAGCCTCCCGAGAAACAGGGACTCCAGGGACCTGCCACCACTCCCAGCTAATTTTTGTATTTTGATAGAGTCTTGCCATGTTGGCCAGGCTGGTCTTGAACCCCTGACCTCAGATGATCTGCCCGCCTCAACCTTCCAAAGTGCTGGAATTACACAATAGAAATATCGTATATCTTTCAGTACTATTTGAATTTCTACCATGTGCATCTATTACTTTTTTAAATAAAAGAAATAGTTTAGTGAATCTCAGAAAGTTAAAAAATAGTTTTTAAGAAAAAGAAAAACTGAAAAAAAACCTGCTAGCAGTACATCATGGATGATAAATGGGAAAGGAAGAGTGATTCTAGTTGTCCCTTACTATGTATAGGGAGAGGGGGTGAAGGGAGGAGTTGGTTCCAGGGCTCCTGTGGGTATCAAAATCCATGGACGCTCAAGTCCCTCATGTAAAATGGCGTGGGATTTGCATACAACCTACACACAGCCTCCCCTCTGCTTTAAATCATCTCTAGATCACATATAATACTTAATACAATGTAAACTATGTAAATAGTTGCTATACAATATTATAAAAATTTGTATAATTTTTTATTATTGTATTGTTATTTTTAAAATTTTCTTTTTTAAAAAATACTTTTCTAGTCTAGTGCAAGATTTCAAAGGGAATGCTTCCAGTTTTTGCCCATTCAGATGTCCTCTCTCACCACTCCTATTCAACATAGTATTGGAAGTTCTAGCCAGAGCAATCAGGCAAGAAAAAGAGATAAAGGGTATTCAATTAGGAAAAGAGAGAGTCAAATTGTCTCTGTTTGCATACAACATGATTGTATATTTAGAAGACCCCATTGTCTCAGCCCAAAATCTCCTTAAACTGATAAGCAACTTCAGCAAAGTCTCAGGATACAAAATCAATGTGCAGAAATCACAAGCATCCCTATACACCAATAACAGACTAAAAGAGAACCAAATCAAGAGCGAACTCCCATTCACAATTGCTACAAAGAGAATAAAATACCTAGGAATACAACTAACAAAGGATGTAAAGGACATCTTCAAGCAGAACTATGAACCACTGCTCAATGAAATAAGAGAGGACACAAACAGATGGAAAAGCATTCCATGCTCATGGTTAGGAAGAATCAATACCGTGAAAATGGTCATACTGCCCAAAGCAATCTACAGATTCAACACTATCCCCACCAAGCTACCTATGACCCTCTTCACAGAACTGGAAAAAACCGCCTTAAACTTCATATGGAACCAAAAGAGAGCCTGCATAGCCAAGACAATCCTAAGCAAAAAGAACAAAACTGGAGGCATCATGCTACCTGACTTCAAACTATACTACAAGGCTACAGTAATCAAAACAGCATGGTACTGGTACCAAAACAGAGATATAGACCAATGGAACAAAACAGAGGTCTTGGAGGCAATGTCACACCTCTACAACCATCTGATCTTTGACAAACCTGACAAAAACAAGCAATGGGGAAAGGATTCGCTGTTTAATAAATGGTATTGGGATAACTGGCTAGTCATGTGCAGAAAACAGAAACTGGACCCATTCCTGACACCTTACACTAAAAATTACTCCAGATGGATTAAAGACTTAAACATAAGACCTAACACCATAAAAATCCTGGAAGAAAACCTAGGCAAAACCATTCAGGACATAGGCATAGGTAAGGACTTCATGACTAAAACACCAAAAGCATTGGCAACAAAAGCCAAAATAGACAAATGGGATCTAATTAAACTACAGAGCTTCTGTACAACAAAAGAAACAATCATTAGAGTGAATTGGCAACCAACAGAATGGGAAAAAATCTTTGCAATCTCCCCATGTGACAAAGGGCTAATATCCAGAATCTACAAAGAACTAAAACAGATTTACAAGAAAAAGCAAATAAACCCATTCAAAAGTGGGCAAAGGACATGAACAGACACTTTTCAAAAGAAGACATATATGAGGCCAACAAACATACGAAAAAATGCTCATCATCACTGGTCATTAGAGAAATGCAAATAAAAACCACACTGTGATACTATCTCAAGTCAGTTAGAATGGCAATCATTAAAAAATCTGGAGACAACAGATGCTGGAGAGGATGTGGAGAAATAAGAACACTTTTACACTGTTGGTGGGAGTGTAAATTAGTTCAACCATTGTGGAAGACAGTGTGGCGATTCCTCAAGGACCTAGGAATAGAAATTCCATTTGACCCAGCAATCCCATTACTGAGTATATATCCAAAGGATTATAAATTGTTCTATTATAAAGACATATGCACATGTATGTTCACTGAGGCACTGTTTACAATAGTAAAGACCTGGAACCAACCCAAATGCCCATTGATGATAGACTGGACAAGGAAAATGTGGCACATATACACCATATGGAATACTATGCAGCCATAAAAAATGATGAGTTTGTGTCCTTTGTAGGGACATGGATGAACCTGGAAACCATCATTCTCAGCAAACTGACACAAGCACAGACAATCAAACACCGCATGTTCTCACTCACAGGTGGGTGTTGAACAATGAGAACACGTGGACACAGAGAGGAAAGCATCACAAACTGGTGTCTGTTGGGGGGACTAGGGGAGGGACAGTGGGGGGTAGGGAGGTTGGGGAGGGATAACATGGGGAGAAATGCCAGATATAGGTGACAGGGGGATGGAAACAGCAAACCACATTGCCATGTATGTACCTATGCAACAATTCTGCATGAGCTGCACATGTACCCCAGAATCTAAAGTACAATAAATATATATATATAAATACTTTTCCATTAAAAATGTTTTTTTCTCCTAACTCAACATCGATGTATTGTTATTTCTTATTGTGCTTTATTTTTCAAATATTTTTGATCCAAAATTGGTCGAATATGCAAGTGTAGAACTTGCAGAGACAGAGGGCCAATTATATATAGAAAAACCCATTGCAGGCAGGCCTGGCACGTTAGCTTACTCCTGTAATTCCAGCACTTTGGGAGGCCGAGGCAGGCAGATCAGCTGAAGTCAGGAGTTCGAGACCAGCCTGGTCAACATGTTGAAAACCCGTCTCTACTAAAAATACAAAAAAATTAGGCAGGCAGGCACCTGTAATCCCAGCTACTTGGGAGGCTAAGGCAGGAGGATCTCTTGAACATGGGAGGTGGAGGTTGCAGTAAGCCGAAATCACACCATTGAACTCCAGCCTGGGCAACGGGAGCAAAACTCAAAAAAAAAAAGAAAGAGACAGAAAGACCCATTACGAAGCTACTATCCTACAGCAATGACAAAATTGAACAAAGGAAGTGGCAGTAGGGATAAGGAGGAAGACAGAGAGATATTTAAGCAGTAAAAACACTAGGACTTGGCAACTAGTTAAGTTGCAGAGGGTATAACAGAGGTAGACGTCAAGAATAACTTCAGTAATAGGAGAGATGGGGGAGCTGTTCACTAGAAACAGCCAGAATGTGGGGCGGATAATGAGTTCAGTTTTGGACGTGCCAGGTTTGAGGTATCTTAGGACATCCAGATAGATGTGACCTATTAGGAAAGTGAGTGTAAGATTTTTGATAATAAACAATTCCATTTACCTTATTGATGGCAATTTACTAAGTCCTAACAATGAAGAATGAAATGAGATTACCTTTCTGTGTAGTAAAACATTCACACAATGGGCCTGAGATTGCTATCCTGAGAAAGGCCTGCCTCGAGAGGTTGGCCCTGGGCTGACGTCTGCGAACTTGCCTGATGAACAGTTCCCTACACTGCTATGAAACTAAGTGATAAGGGTGGCTCACTAGGCCTAGGCCATATTTGTGCAAACAATATGGATTATATTGAATACCAGTTTTCCTTCTGGAAGTCTGGAGTTTTCATACAGAGGGTGTTTGTGAGACCAACCCCCATGTAGAGACCTTGGGCACTGAGTGTCTGATGAGTTTCGCTGGTAGACAACATTTTTTTTTTTTTTGAGACAGAGTCTCCCTCCGTCATCCAGGCTGACATGCAGTGGCACATCTCAGCTGACTGTAGCCTCTGCCTCAGGGTTCAAGCGATTCTCCTGCCTCAGCCTCCTAAGTAGCTGGGATTATAGTTGTGTGCCACCACACCAGGCTAATTTTTGTATTTTTAGTAGAGACGGGGTTTCACCATGTTGGCTAGGCCAG